CACTCTTATTCCCATGTGTGAAGTGAGAGCTAAGCTGCATTATTATATGTTATTATCTCTAGAGAATCTACTGTCTACAATCACAATAATGATGTGGTTTTCTAAGGAGAAAAAAAAATGATAGGAAGAAAACACTGAATATGATTTTCTCCTGCGAAAGCCAAAGAAGCAAAAAAATATTCTAAATCACTAGCAGTCATATTTTTAGCACAAAAATATATGTCAAAACTACTACATAGTGGAAAGTTTGAGAGAGGCAGACAAGATCTGTGCATCAAGTCAGACACAGAGTTTTGGTAGACATTTGCATGTTCAGCAGCAGAATTTCCATACAGTCTGCAAGCAGTAATTTGTACATACTCCCACAGAAGAAAAAATCTGATCAAAAAAGGACCACTGCCATGTTTTTAGCATTGATTTCCTCCAAAGTAAAGTCCCCACATAATTATTACCATCCAAAAAACACAGGTTGAATATAAACATGCCTGAAAAACATTTTCATAATCTAAGAATAAAATTTTAAAAACAGAAGCTTACTCACAGTATTTATAAATCCCTTTAATTTCTTTAGAAGATCCTCAGAGTAATTCTAGTAAAACTATATAATTAAATCTTTTTTGCCTCCAAGAGCATTTAAGAGATGTGTTTGATTAAGGTCACTCACTAATGAAATGTTGACAGCTCAGCATTAGGACTCAGCAGCTGTTTAAGAGAACACAGCAACATGAGGGAAAGACCACCACACCCCAAATTCAACAATGCAGAATTTAATGATCTAGTTAGAATTTGCTCAAAATATTGAAAGGAACATGTAAGCTTAAAATACTATAAGGATTTTACATCCGGTATATATATGAATATATGTGTTTATGAGTTAAAAGATGACAGAAGTTTGAAAGAATTTGTTTTAATTTATTTTGTCTGATATTACCCATTTTTCAAGAAGATGACCGTAAATTTCAAATTGCAGATAGTTGTTGACTTCTGTTCCAGATACAATGTAGGGCATTTTTCCCTAAAGAGTTTGGAAATGGAGGCTTTCTGCTACCCCTGGCAAAAGTGTAGCAGAAAGATCCCATATGTCCTCTTACCTCCTTGTGCACTTGTGTGCGTGGCCTAGATACATGTGTTGATTTCCTTATTCGTTTAACTCATTCATTATATACACTGAAGAAATAACACACCCAACTCACTAATGTAAACAGAAATATAAGCACAGAAACCATGCCATTCTGCCTAACATTTGTTTAACAGAAGTTAAATGAAATCTACGAATACAATGAAACAGCAGTGTAAAGCACTTGTCATATGAATAATTAGACCTTATAATAGCAACAGGATGCTCGGTCTGTTCTCGTCTGTAGTATTTCTGTTTAGCAGCTGCTGTTCCTGACAAAAAACTGCCAGATGCAAGAGTTCCCTGATGGGTACCTGAACATGCTCTGTGTGTCCTCCTGAACTTTACTACAGTTAAAATGTTATTCTGGACCTGCAGGAAAGTAGACAGATGTTTTGTCAGCTTAGCAAATGGGAATATTCCTTCTCTGAGCAAGTGGGAAATGCACTAAATCTGTCTCAGCTAGAAATGTGTTTAGCGTTCACTGTTCAAATTATCTGGTTTTGTAATCTCTAAAGCATAGAACATGTTATTCACAAACTTTATTTACTTCTAACAGAATAAACAGACTTAGCTTTCCACATGTGCTTTTACAAACCAAAATACCTACTTCCATGCAACGGGTGGGAAATCTAGGGCTCTTGAATATCTGGGTCCTGATGAATTCTCTCCTAATTGTGCATTAACAATTAGAGATTATAGAATATGATGTTTCTGGTTACTACCAGTGTAATAAAGTTAGAGGTGGTTGCAAACAGACTTTGTAGAGTGAAGAAAAAATTAGTATCACAAGACATGTCACTGTGAATTCATGCCATCTGTCTAATGATGAATGACACCAGTGCGAATGGTATCAAGTCAGCCTACAGATTTGCTATATATACTCACTAACCTGCAAATACATAAGGCAAAATGGCCCCACTTACACTGTGCATCAAAACAGAGAGTATAACGCTTCGTCAGAGGGTGAACTGCTCTATTAAAATTACCACATGTTCAGAAATGCAGACTGGGTTTGTTGTTTTCAACCTAGTTTATTTCTTTTTTGGAAATCTGTTTTCTTCCAAAAATCTCATTTTCATGATTTAGGTTTCATTTCGCTGCTATTTTAATATCCTAACTTTTTTTATACTGTGGCCTTTTATTCTCTGATCAATGAGAATGTCATGAGGTCCATTTTTACAATAGTTCCAAATAATAGTACACTCTACTTTTCTTCAGCAAAATGCAATTTCTGCTGCTTTATAAACATGGCTAGATACTCTTTCGAGAATTTTGCTACTGAAGAATGTTATTAATTTGTGATCCTTTCTTGAGGTGAAGTTGGTAAACTCACGGAAATGGAGTGCCTGGGACAGAGGCTCTACTTGTATAAGCTACTGAAATTGAAGTATATTTATGTATATACATATGATGAACTCTGATAGCTAGATGTCACCTACATATTGAAGAAATTATGTCAGGGTTATAAATGATACCAGAGTTGCCTTCTATTCTCTTCTGTTCTTTTTTTCCTTCCTGATACAGTTATAGGGGGTCTCACTTGACATAATGTGATTTCTCCTTTAGCTTAGTTCAGAGCTTTCATCTTAAATGTATTAAAGAGTTTGCCTCACCTGACCTAATTTAATCATGTAAAAGGTAAGTATTCAGACTGAGCTAACTAGTAAGACTTTCTCTGCGTTCTCTGTCATGGAAGAAAGATGTGATGTGATGAACCTTCCTCTGCAGGCACCTTCCTGTATGGAATGTGGAAGATTCTCAGATGTCTATCATCTCAGATCAGATGTTTGTCTTTCAGGCTGCATTGTACAGCATCTGTCCCTTGGGTGTCATCCAGTACTAGTATCTTGATTCTGTGTCAAGAAGAAGCATCAGAAGACAGCAACTAGCAGAAGTATCATCATCATTGTTCCTTTCAACTTATTAATAAATTTGAACATGATAAAATGTGAGGAATTTACTGGAAATCATATTATTTAGTGGCGACATTAAGGTAGTGGGTTGGTCCACTTCCTTGTGAGATGGGACAGAGTAAAGAAGAGGCAATGGAGATAATATCTTCTTTCCAGGTGGTTTTCTTTTTTTACAGGATGCTTCTCTATTCCGGAGAAATCTCTATAGTGACAATTTTTATTCTGTGCATTTCAATTTTATGCTTGATGGACCCCCTGGCCTTGAATTAATCAATGGCAGAACATTAGGGCCAAACAGGTATCCCTGACCATGGCAGGGGGGTTGGAACTAGATGATCTTTAAGGCCCCTTCCAACCCAAACCGTTCTGTGATTGTATGATTCTATAAGCCAGTGAATCACCTTATTTTAGAAAGAAGTGTGGCAACCATGAATGCTATGAAATGCCATTAATCATTTGTGTTTCTATTTTGTAGATGGAAAATAAGTAATTTTAGAGTTTAGTCACCAAAAATGTGATTTCACTTGGGCCGAAGAGCAGGGTTTTTTTGCCTTTTGTTCAAAAGAAATTCACAGTAACCCCCACCTAATTGCTGAAAGATTTGAGCCTGCATTTCCAAAATCTTGGCCAGAAAGCCTCCTCAGATGCTTGAAGCTCTGCAGCTGCTCATGACCACAGGCATTACCATTCTGGGTTGGCTGAGCATCGAGGGACACAATTCATGCCTACACCTGTCGGGGGGGACACAGGCTTCAGGAAGCAATTCAATATTCATGAACCTAGAGAGAAAATGGTGCTATGGAGACTGTGTAGGGAATCTTTGCCAGGATAGGGATGGAGTTCTCCTTTACTTTAAAGGTAGAAAATGCAGAAATATTCTGCATTGAAATACTATTTCACAGAGTAATGACACTAAGGATCATCATGCAAACTCAGAACCAGCTTGGGGGTCTAAGGCACTATGGCTACATGGTATTGAGTAGATGTAGCCAGAAATCTCAGGTATGGGTTTGTTATTTTTACATTGAGAGCTGGATGCCCAATACTGCGCCAACCTCTGTTTGTGATTTGCTGGGATAGGGGAATTCTTCCCCTGTAGTTAAAGCCACATTACCCTACTTTTCTTTGTTTGGTTGTTTTTGCCCCAATTAATTAGCTTTCTCCTATTCCTTTGTTCAGATTTCCTTGGCCCAATCCCTTGAATATTTGACAAAAACAAACAGAGGCGGTGGTTACTGTGTGGTACTAGCAGCGGCTCGGTTTTATTTAATAACACTGTGTTACTCTGTGCAACAAATTGTGACTAATTGCTTCTCCACTGCTCTGCCAGTCTGTGAAAAGGCCAGCATCACAAAACACCAAGTCAGAGCTCCCTGCCGAATCTCTACAAGCTTATATAAACAGCAAACTTGGTGAATGAGGTCCGACTGGTAGGCAAATTAAGGGTTTTGGTGAAATAGATGTGCCCATCATTGACTCCAGTGCTGAATTTTGCAATTTTCCCCTCAAGCATAATGTATATAAACAGTTTTGACTCTGCAGATCTTGTGAAAAATTCTTCCTCTTTGCCTTTCTCAGCAAACAAAATTGCATTCATATAAACTCATGTAATTTCCATTATTTGGTTTATCACGTGTGGGGTTTGATTTTTGTTTTAATCAAGGAATATAATTTCTGCCTTTCTTGCTTTCTTCCTTGGTGCTAAAAAGTACACACTGGCTTTTTAATATTTAATTGGGGAGATCATTTTACGGGTTTTAGTTTAAAGGTAACCATAGCACAAACGCATCCATTATTAACTGCAGAACGGCAGTGTAGCTTCTCGGGAGCCCTCTTTAGTTTAATATGAGAACCTCTGTCAACAGAAAACAGCGCTGATATTGTTGTTAAGTAAGTGTGACAAACTGGCAAATGCCATGGCCACCACGTTGGAACAATGCAAACTGCTTATGTCAATGGAAGAGGCGATGTTTAAAAGTGAGATGAAGGCGGAGAGCGAGCGGCTGTCGAGGAAGGTCCGATTCCGCGTCGCGTCCTCGCACAGCGGGAGGGTGCTGAAGGAGGTCTACGCTGACGGGGAGGCTGCCGACTCCCTGGACTCTGAGTACACCAGTAGCTCGGAGACTGACCAAACCAGCCGGCTGAGCGAAGTGGACGGGCAGCAGAACGGGCACGGAGGGTCCGAGTGCGACGAAAACGAGAACGAGCAGGATGACTTGCTCATTTTAGTCAGAGCCACTAAAGAGAAGGGGTTTGGTACAAAGCGAGTCAACATCCTCAGCAAAAACGGCACAGTCAGGGGAGTCAAGCATAAAGTCAGCGCTGGTCAAGCCCTCTTTGACAATTTGGCAAAAGTATTTCAGGTAGGTGATATGCTCCTGCTGGCTTTAAGCACCATGGCTGTCCCTTTTAACTCCTCACATTCTTCTTTCCCTTTGTCTAAACATATCTCATTTACGATTTCTCAATATTCTGCCTCATTCCCATTGCTGTTTGCTTACCGCTGTTGCACTGGAGGGACTCATTGCTCTTTCTGGTATACTCCAGCTCCCCACTTCAAATTAAGTCTGAAATATTTTCTTTCAAAACTGACCTAAAATTTGCTGACCGGGGATGAGTATGTTGCACTATCCATGTATAGACCAGGAAAGAAATGTAACAGAGGAATTAACTGGGGCTTTGTAGGAGATCTGTACAGATCCACTGTGCAGGGATGTGTCATGTTTCCACTTCTATTATATTAGTTCTAATGAGGTTACGATGTTATCTACTGTCCCCTCCATGTAAATATGTATACTTGCAAATTCCATTGTGTTTAATCTGCAAAGTAGATCAAATTAGATGTAGGATGGCAGCAATGATGGTTTTCCCACATGAAAATTTCAGGGGAATGAAATCTTAGTCGGAGGTGTCTTTTATTAATGTCTGTTATCCATTTATTTTGTAGAAGGAACAGAATATCTGTATTTGAAACAGTATATGCCACACTGACATCTTAGGCAGAGAAATACAGGCCTCAGAAAAAACAAGAAAAAATTTATAAAAAATTTAGTTCATGTGTATATTATTTATCCATATAAGGTATTCAAGTCTTTGAATCATTAAAATTCAAACAAAAGAGCAACACGTATGCAACAAACCCTTTCTAAAGGTTGTTATAACGTTATAATGTTATAATGGTCACTTAAATTAACTTATAATTGGCTTCAGAGCATTATTTTAAAGCATTCATGGAGTTTTAGCATGGGGAATTTGATACTAGTAGCACCTGTTGAAATAAAATCTAGCAGTTCTTTCTTACTTTGAAGCAAAGTCATTTCATAATATATTTAGAAATGGCTATAGATTAATATTCTCTTGCTTCTGAATAGGAACTTGTCCTCTATGTTGTACCTAACAGTCTTTTTGTCAGTATCAACGTTCATGTGGAGGATGGATATTTCAAAGATTAATTATCTGTTCATTTTTGTTCTATACATTATGTAGCACTCAAGTAGCTTTCTTGCTTTCAAGCCACTCACTGAGAGTTTGTCCTTGAATTCACTACTCTGATAAAATTTGTAAGAGACTCAATTTTTCTGAGTAGATATGAGTTAGGAATTGTTAACTGGGGCATGTCTGAATTCTTCTCCAACCTTTATTCCAAATACTGCTTCCTGTTGTTTTGCTACATGGAGTACACCATTTCACCTCTCTAGCCTCATTCCCTCCTAACACCTGCCTTCTGTTGCATCAGTGATGCAAAGCTAAAAAATTTGAATCACCTGTATAAATGGACCTTTAATTAGTGGCCCTGTCACCTGGCTGCTTCTATCTCCAGTTTCGGGCTGGAAGTTCTTCAGGGAAGGTTCATGGACTGAAATCAATGTACGTTGATTGAAATGAAGTTTCTTTTATTCCTAGAAGAGTTACAGCTAGGACAAACATTACTTCCATGAAGTGTTTTGCCAGAAGAAAAGAAGGCTTGAGGGGAAGCATATCCATCCGACAACTTCAGAAAATGATATGTAGTCTAGTCTACCACAGAAGTCCATAATTAAGACCTGTAAAATAATTAAGATAAGGAACATGTATTTTACAGCAGAAGAAAGTGGAAAAATTAAATTATCAGATGAAAACAAACTTAAAAGTTTTTATACAGCACATAATTTAATTTAAGTACTCTGCTACAGGCATTGTAAAGGCCAAAAGAATAGACAGGTTTTGAAAATGGATGAAGAAAATATATGTAGAACTGAGCAGCTTCTGCTTAGGCAGGTCTAGATGACTGATTCCCACAAATAACTGTATATTCTTACTTTTCTACACAAACAAGTTCCTGTTTTCCCAGAGATAAAACTTGAAATCTAGTGAAGAAGAATGACAGTTTGCATATCTTTTATGTTATACTGTGAGGCAATTTTCAGTGCCATGTGGTGAACACAGAGAAGAGTAAAACACGAAGGTTGGCGGCTTTGAGAATGAGTGGGAACTGCTTGATCCCCATGTGAAATATGATCGAAATATGTCCATCTACAAATGAAGTGGTGACATTTAGGATAAGATTAGAGGATTATTTCTAGTTTTCTGTAAGTACGTTCCGGACAATTAATTGCACACTAACACCACTTAGAGAAACAACAGGAGTTCTGTATTCAAAGGTACAATAAGATAGAAATACGTTTCTAGTAGAAGATATAAGTCAAAATCATTGAACTGGGCATTTTTGTAATTTCCTCCTTGATTAGTGGTTGAGTCACCATCCCTGGAGGTATTTAAAAGATGTTTAGATGTGACACTTAGTGATGTGATTTAGGGGTGGACTTGGCAGTGTTAGGTTAACGGTTAGATTTGATGATTTTAATTTTCTTTTCCAACATAAATGATTCTATGATTCTATGTTTCTATGTGAGGTCATCTGCAATTACATGTTTTGCTTCTTTTAACTAAGCAACAGCAGATGTATAACATCAGTTGAGATGTATATGAAGTCCCTTATCCCCAAGGAGAGCCCCTTTGATGATTCAGCAGTAGATGACCTCATTATACACTCCTCAGAGTGAGTGTCAAAGCATGAACTCTCGACAATCCTAAACCCTGAGCAGTGTCAGTATTCTATTTCTTCAGACTATATCTCCAAACTTCTCTACTATCCTATGACCCCAAATCCCCAGATGCTCCCTGTAGAGGACAGATCCTTTAAAACAAATCACTTTCCTCAGGTACTCTAGGGATAAGCAGGGACTCCTTAACTGGGCTTTATTAAGTTGTGCAGTCAAGGCATTTGATGTTTTCTGTTCAGATACCTGTGCTAAAAGCACTTCTATGTATTTTAATGTTCCATGGAATATTTCAGATTTTGAATATTTTTTCCACATTTTCTAACTACAGCCTTTCTACCGAATTGGTTCAGACAGTTCCTTCACATAATGGACTCATCGGAAAAATCTCACACCTTCATGAGTTTTTGGGAATATGAATAGGGTAATTTAATACAGCAACTATTTCCAGAGGAAAAGGTGGTTTTTGGTTGTGGTTGTTGTATGATACAAGTCTGGCCTGAGAACGTATATTTACTGCTGAGTAGATATGTATCCCCTGCTACATCTTCCAACAACTGTGCACAAGCAATTCCATCATCAGCACAACCAGCGACTTCCCATTTCCACCCTTCCTTGAGAAGAGAAACCAGGTCCCTCGCATTAGTCTGTCTGATGACTGTGTCCCCAGATGCCAGCTGCAGCGTTGTGACAATAAAAAGGTTTCCTATCAGGTCAGCCCTGCACAGCTGGTGAGATGCCGTGAGCCCGGTGACATCTGGAGCTGGCACAGCTGTGTGGATGGGGTGGGACAGAGCTTCATGGCAGGACATTTTGGGGGCAGGAAGGTGGAGAAGAGACCAGCTCTATTGACGCTTCAGGGGAGCATGGTTTCCATGGCAACCCCTCCATCCTTTCCATCCCAGGGGTGGATGCCACAGGGAGAGCGTTGACATAGCAACCACATCCAGGCAGGGAAGGCGGGAAGCCAGTTGGTGGCCATCGGTGGGGGGGCAGGGATGGTCACATGGGTCCACCCAGCCTTCAGATGGGACCAGGGGGATGACCTCCTATAGGGCTGGCAGTACAGTGGTCAAGTAGTCAGGAATATTTTATTCCTGACAAATGTGCACTACTCAAAAACCTGAATGAAGCAAACGATATGGAGCTTCCAGTCTCCCTATTTGTGCACCTCTTCAAAATAAATGAAATTATCTCCTGCTGAAACAATAAAACTAATGGTATTGGCACCTCTGGAGCTGGGGATGTGACCTGCTAATTGAATCAGGAACATAAACCCCTTCTCTGCATATCCAAAGTAATTGTGGTCTTATTTCAGAACATTACTAAAATTTTTGATTTTTAATCCTTAGAATGCTGTTAAAATGTGAATGGGTATGAATATTTCCTGTATTTTCCCATAGAAAGTAGTAGAGAAATGGTTCGTGTTTCCTTGAAATGAATGTAATTCTCTTCATGACCAGTTTTTATGATGAGGCCATCCCTGTGATGGCTTCCAGGTGACACAGAGTAAAAAATCCTTGGGTTGTCTGGTACATTACTAAGTAGCGCAACGATCATTTCATGCCAGACTGGGTCCGATCCCAACATGCAACATAATGGAGCTCAGCCAAAGGTTCTCCCCTTATTACCACTGTTTTAACGTAAGTCCTTTCCTCCATTTCCACTCTTACATGCTCCACTGAGCTTCAGGCCTGCTCCAAAAGGTCACCTTCTGCTGAATTAGCTACAGATCTCCTTCTCAGGCAGGGCCTGCTGACGTCTATTAGGAAAGGGCAGGCCTGGTTAACAAACCTGATTAATGCCTTTGTGAACATTCCATCAGAAGGGATATGGGTGAGGAGTCAGACACAATGCACTTGGTCTTTAAGACATTTTCCAGCACGGTGTCTCAGGCAGAGCTAACGTTTAAGGTTGCAAAGTGCAAGTCAATATTCAGTCCGATAAAGAATTATTTATTAATGTTTAGAGAGATGGGAAAGAGTTAAGAATCAGGCAGGAGTTTGTTAAGAGAAGGAATGCTTTTTTGGGGTGGTTAGGTTCACTTTCATCTTTCTTTACTTGTAGGTGACCTGGAAAAGTGACTATACAGCAGGACATGCAGAGCTTACAGACCAGAAGGGCTAGCTAATACAACAGTGAAAATAAAATGGAAGACAGCAGCAAAAACAACTGTCTTCCAAAGAAGGCAGATGCTGCAAAGTGCTGTTAAGGAAAGTTTCTGGTGCAATAGTACAGGCAAAGGTTTTAGGGTGAGTGGCACGTTGTAAACCACTTCAGACCCTGAGGCAATTATCACTATCATCCCTAAAATTCTGGGGAGA